CTCTCTCTCTCTCTCTCTCTCTCTCTCTCTCTCTCTCTCTCTCTCTCTCTCTCTCTCTGCCTCTCTTACGAACGTGTCATCCAAACGTGTACCAGCGTGGCTTCTTTCGGAAGGCGAATCGATGAGATTATTTTGCCATCCGCCCGTGTCTACCTTTGACGATCGTTTTTTACAACCCGTTTTGCTAAAGTATCGATGGTTACGCTTAACACCAGTTAATAATGCCTCCATTTTAAATCCGATACGTTCGACGGATAGTAAACATGCGACGTTACCACGGGCTTCGAGATTTCGAATACGAAATTTTCCAACGTAATGTAATAAACTCTTCGGGGAGAATATCTATAATTAATTCGATTTTACGAATCGAAAATCGTCTATTCACCGTGGATTCTTACGTGGTTCGAGGAGATTATTTTGCATTTGCGACAATTAATGTTTACCAACGATGAAGAAACGTGAGAAAGGTTTCGGGAATGAAATATATTAATGGCCAGTTATCACAGGAGATTTCGTGGACTCGTGATGGATTGCTCGCAAAAATAAGAAATGAATATACACGAGCTCGAAGCATTTGAAACCGCTCCAAATAACATCGCGATATTAAGTTCTTGGATCAGAAACACGCAAGGGTGTTGCGTGTTGTATCAAAAAATCACATCTGGAGAAACTGTATCTTTTGAAATTAATATTTCTTTTTATACCAACGATTTTTCCTTGATACAGGTGGATCGGATTGCATAATCGATCGGATACATTTATTTCTGTATCTCTGCATTCCAAATTTTCGAACAATCGTACAATCAGACGTGTACAGATCTCTAAAAATGCGATTCTATTTTTTATAATCTCGTAGCTAGTTGGCTTTCCAAAGTTGATTCTAGTTGGCAGCCATTATCATATATGCGATTCTTGGCAGCCATTATCACAGATTTAGCCAGTAAAACTGAGTCAAAGTCTTCCGAAAAACGATTCCATCACACGAGAGATTTGAAATTATTCGAATAGGGGTAGAAGCGTTGCCAGTTTTTCGATGAAATTTCAAAGATAATATTCCGAAACGAATTATCTTTTTGATTGAAAAATAATCGATTTTCCACTAGCGTCTCTTAATCTTTAATAATGATATTTTTTTAAATTTAAATTCACGTCATCCTTGGTAATTCTTAATTCAATTTCAAACTCGATATTTTGTGCAATGCATTTTCACTGTCTCTCCATACAAATTTCTCCTATATCCTCTTGTAATTGTAATTTACAACATACACCTAATATATATATATATAAAATATAGCATAAAAAATAATCACAACGGTTTTAATTGTGTACAGTTAAAATCATGAAACTTCACCTGTTTAACATGGTGTAGTTGTGACAACATGTTCGAGTGTCCTACATTTGCGGATTCACGGATCGATAGTGAGCTTTGTGTGTATTCCGAAACAAATATCCCTGTAATAGTACCGATTAAGTTAAACATACGTTTCGATCGTTTCAATGATGGCAATCATAAAAAGTTTCTAAAACACCCTTTGAACCTGTTCTCAGAATGAAACATCCATTCCTCTCGTCCGAAAATCGACGAAAAGACGACGATAATTCACAAAGGAACACCATCTACTCGAAATTTCTACCCTTCTATCCTCTTTCAGCTCCTATTCCTCTCCCTCATCCCTCCTGGTAAACTTCGACTTCGTCTCGACGACAGTTACCTTCCCTTTGAGGAAAACAAACTTAATTTCCTGCTCGGGGTTATGTTTCACGAAAATCGATCTCGCGATTCGAATCGTAGACTAAATCTAGAGAATCTTCACGATACTTGGCTTACGCTTACTTACTAAATTCGTGGCTTATTAAACCGTGGGATCGAAGAGAAATTAAATTATAGACGTTAAATCGTCCATTCACGAGCTAAAACTATTTACGAAACAATGCGAAGTCCGTCTGATCGCGTTTCCTGCGAAATTTCCCTTCTCGCTCCAAAGTCCATAACGACTAAGTACTCGAGAGAAGAGACTTGTCTACTCTCGGAATTTCGTCATTCTCCACGCCCTTCCAGCCTCTTCTCTCTTCCTTTCCCTTCCTCTATCTTTACTGCACTTGAGAGTTTGGGATTCACCTTGGAGACAGTTACCCTCTTGCTCTCCTACTTTGAGAGCAGAGACCCAATTCTCCAACGCATTTCAACCCTCGTAAAATACGATCCCGAGCGGGAACGTTACACTCTACGATAACTTCCCTATCCCACCAAGAAGTTAACGCTTCTTGATTGGATAATGCGAGATTTTCGACTTGCTCCTACCTGTAATTAGATAAAGTTCGCTTAGTATTGGAAAGAAGAAGGTAAAAGGTCGGTTCGATATTGAAACTCGTGACGCGAGTCAAACTTACATTTGTTTCGCAATCGCAAAATTAATCGATTTAACGGTTGACCAAGCGCCGATAATCTCGTAACAAAAGACGTTAGAATCGTACACACGTAGGCACGTGGCTCACAAAGGAACACAATCTACGAGGAATTTCGTCATGGTTTCTCGATCGTTCAACCATCCTCCACGCCCTTCCGGCCCATTATACCCTCCTCCTCTTCAGCCTCTTAATATATATATATATATATCTCGCTCGCTTTAACTTTGCGATTCACCTTGGAGCCAACCACCCTTCCTTTGAGACGCAATGACCCAGTTTCCTTCTCCTCGTGAATCGGGAAATTCGAGGCATGAATTTTGAAAAAAGACGCCTGCGATACTTGTAACCAGTTTACGAGCACTTCTCGGGACATCGCTTTTGAATAACATATGATATCGGAAATGATATCTTTCCTCTTCTACCTTTTCGACGGAATAACGAATTAATTGAAAATTCCGCACCGTTAATCGTGAAATTTCAATTTTTAAAAAATTGAAAGTTGAAATCGAAACGATCGCCGACCGATGAATCAATGAAATACTATTCCCGCGAAATTTTTTTGATGACGTATACGTCTTAAATGAATATACGGCTTCGAAGCAGCCATTCAGAACCATTAATTATGCAACATTGTTCATGATTCTCCTAAACAAGATATAC